TTATACACAAAATCGGGATATCATTTCTTTAGGGAATAGCAATCAAGAATCAAGTAAAATAAATATTGACTTTGGTGATCTCATCATTGAAGGATTGCAGGTGGAAGAAAGCCGAAAAATCAAAAAGCAAGTGAAAGTTGAGCGGCGCCACCAGAAGAGACCTGGAATATCAACAGAATATGGATTTTAAGATGAGAACTATAATAAAGTTGATGAGAAAACAGGAGACTTTGAATAAGAAAATAATGAAACTGTTAAAAGAAATGGTTGAATATAAAAAGTTTAATCTTGAGTTGCAAGCATTAACCAGTGACTTAGAAATATTGAAACTTAAAGCGCCAGCTCTAAAATTATAGAAGTTTCAGATGCATGTTTGATCACACATTTTGTTCCCCAAATGTATAAATGTTGAAGGCTGGTGGTTTAGGTTGCTATATGTTTTGTTTTCTGAGATGATGAAAAGAAAGGGGCTGCATCTTACAATAGAATTGTGAGATGGAATCTCTAACTAACAGTACTAATTGTATTATGTTGGTATATGAGTGTGACTTGTGTGGTTGAGACAATGTATACTTGGACCATGCTTTTAGAGGTGTGATAGATATTTTTGTGGACTTAAATAGAGATGAATATCTTTATGATATACTTAGAATCCCTGCAATTCTTCCATTTGAACTTTTGATACTCTGTGCTAACTGTGATAAAGGTTATGTATCCTGTCTGTGTGTATGTACGCAAAGAAATTACCAAATAAGGAAAGAATGCAGGGATGGCTTTTGATGATGTTAATGCAAATTGTCTGCAAGGCTATAAAATGCCAAGGAGAGCTTCAGACGAGGCCTCGCTCCGATGGTGAAAACTTACTCGCTGTTACTTCATTTTTACTTATGAGTTATTGTGTACTAATAAAGCGAAACCATTACAGATGGTGATGCGTTAAAACTTTATTTAGGAAAAGTCTCTGAGTAATTTATTTTTGGGGTAACCTATTATTCTGAAACTGAAGGACTTCCTTTGAGCCTTATGAAGCTCGAACTCAGCTGAGCAAACTCGGACACCGGGGGAGATTCCAGATCTCATGACTGCATTTCCTGATCTCAGATGTAAGGGCAAATTAATTGCATCTGTTGATGAGAAATAGGGATGTGTATTAGGGATTTTATGGAGTCTATTCTGTATATAAACACAACACAACGAAACACACAGCGCCTTCACGACATGGCGGCGGCAACAACAATACTACAGCGAGAATAAAAGTTACGCCTTCTTTCTTTGCGTGAACATATGATGTTTTATTAACAAGGTTCGGGAGGAGCGCTTCAGATATTTAGCCTAATTAACACAGGTGGAGCG